AGCCAGCGAATGCTGGCTGGGGAATTCTGGGAGTTGAAGTCCAGACATCTTCAAGTTGCCAAGGTTGAGAAACACTGCTCTAATGAGATATCAGGTCAGGAAATGGAAGGATATGTATCTCCTTGAGACGGTGTTTGATAGATGTATTTCTATGGGGACTGAATAATTGTAATGGAGACCTTTCTCATCTTCTGTAAACTTACTGTCTAGCTTAAGACTGGATGTGGGGGCCGCTTCCAATTTCTAGCAAAGGAACCTGTACCCTCTTTAAACTGCATCACTCCAAATGTGTGTGGGGCATAATTCTGAGTGCATCCACACATTATCTTTCTACTTCATATTATTCCAGGTCGAAATGTTTTCTCTCGTGTGAATCCTGCATAGGCGGGAGAAATTGTTCTTATTGCTTCTCTTAAGACTCCAGCACAGTGTTCCTCTAGAAATCTGCACTCACTGCATTGAAGACTCTTTAATAACAGCATTATTATTACCTCTTTAAAACTCTTAGTGCAGTGTTTCTCAACCGTGGCAAGTCCACGCATCTCAAAAGTTGCCAAAGTTGAGAAAGACTACCCTGGTATACGTCACATCAATTTTTCTAATGAGCTATTTGAACCTTCAGTTCAACCCGTCACATGAAGTGCAGAAGTGCTCGTTCTAATAGCTGCTGTGCCAACCGACGGGGCGCGTTCACCTCTTAGACATTCCAGAAAACTGAGCTGCCTTTTTTTTTTTTTACGTTTTTGTGTTCGTTAAGTCTCGGGGAAACATTAACAAATGAACTTGCCTTCCCCCCCCGTCTTCCTCTTTCCGTGCAACAGATCCCATTTGGAAAGACTCCGTGACTCTCCATGGCTTCAGTCTTCTCTGGAGCAGCAAGTATTGTAGGATCCTGCTTTTGGCCCTTTTAAATTTTTGAGCGGAGGTCACCTCGTAAATCGGCCCTCAGAATTGTCCTGTTCTCATAAATGTAGAAATGGGTGGCTGAAATGTGCTTTAGAAAAAACCCCCGAAATTTAGTTTTCTTGCTGTCTGTACTTGTAGCAGGTATGAAGTAGATCTGATTCTTTGAAAGTATTCATGGATTGGCCTGAAATGTAGATTCAAGTCTATATTAATAGTCTGATTTGATGGTAGAGGAAAGATCCAATGTTATATATGTCCCCTAAAATCTCCACTGAGATTTTAATCTGAACATAGGTTGGTAGTTCTTGATATTTTCAAACATATTTTGTTGCAGTGCCATTTGTTTTCTCAACTTTGACCAATTTTTAAAATCCTATATTCCGGCTTTTTTATTTTAATTGGTGGCAAAAGTGCCAAAGCATGTGTCAAATGTTTTGGATGGAGGAGCTCTTAAAGAGTCCATGAATCCTCTGTTAACGTCCAGAGAGAGGTATTCTTTCAAAACAAATATTATACATGCAGCTTTTTTTTACTTATCTTTGATAATGGTTTCATTCTTTTCACATCTGATAATGATGTGATTTCACCCCAAGGGATTAATTCCCCCCCCCCCACAGTTGTAATATAGCTCTTCATTCTACGATCACCTCACCCCTTAGTCCACTACTTGTCTCCTTGGTGTTCAAGATATATTTTCTAAGGGCCTTAAGATTGCCTTGCATGAGTAAGAAAAAAATGCCCTTTTATAGGGGAAAAATGCCCAGCACAAAAATATTCACAGCAGTGAATTGTTCAGTTTGCCAAAGAAGCTGGGAGCCATCATACAGTCTCAGTTGTATGACTTTAGTACAGGGGTCTCCAACCTTGGTAACTTTTAAGACTTGTGGACTTCAACTTCTAGAACTCCCCAGCATTCCACTCTGGCTGGGGAATTCTGGGAGTTGAAGTCTACAGCTCCGAAAGCTGCCAAAATTGACCATCCCTGCTTTAAGAGTTTTGGTTATCCTACTTCATCAGGAATTGTTTGTAACTACGTATTGGATTTTGTGGAATAATTCCCCTAGAAAGCAGAGCAACTTGCATAAATATGTGGCTGGATGTATCTCAAGGGTCCTTAGTGTAAACTGTAGGGATGAACTGATTTCCCAAGACGATTTGCCAAACTCCATTTGCCTGGAATGCATAAAATGAAACAGGAGTTTGAATGGACGTCCTGCAGTGGGATTGGGCAACCTTTTGGGGTCTGGAGATGCTTTCCTGCCGTCCCATTGAGTTGTAGGATTTATACATTACATCTGTGGAGGAGGCAGGGATCAAATTTCAGACTTTTTTCTTCTCTTTTTTCTTTCTTTCTTCTCTTTTTTTTCCCAGAAGGGGTTAAAGGAACAAAATACAAAGCCTTAAAGCACTTAAGTTTCCTCCTTCACTCTCCTTCTAAATGGGGAAAATGAATCCAATTATCAGTTTTCTTTGCTGCTGGGGGTGCTTGAAACCCCTGCCAAGTGAAGGCCCCCCTTCTCAAATCTTCTGGACTCTACAGGCTACCCATTCCTGTCCTCCACTGCAGGGTTTTCCAACCGTGGCGATTTCAAGGCATAACGGACTACAACTCCCAGAATTCTCCAAGCCGGCGTTGCCCACGGCGGAGAATTCTGGGAGTTGGAAGTCCTCTGCGCTTCGATTTGCCGAAGCGCCTTGAGGGTTTTGCTTTCCGCTGTTCCGCTCCTTCTCTACTTTCCTGCCTCCTGCCAACGTTTTGTCTTCTGGTGCTTGACTAGGCTTTTAGGATTAAGGGACTTGCCGTTGTTGTACCCCGTCAGGCTGAACGGTTGTAGTATTGCCGGTTGAAGTAGCACCACCTAGAATAGTGGGTAGTGCCCTCAAAAAGACGAATTGTACAGTTAACTTAAGAAGTGGTGTCTCCAGCATCCCATTGGTGATTCAGAAAGCACTGTAGGCCAACCTTTTTAAGACCCCATGGACTTCAACTCTCAGAATTCCCCAGCCAGCTATGCTGGCTGGGGAATTCTGGGAGTTGAAGTCCACGGGATCTTGAAATTGGCACGGTTGGGACACCTGCACTTGTAGGCTTTATCTGAGAGTGAACTGGTCACACATAGTGCCTCACTCTGCAATAGGGCTCCATAGCTGACCAATCTGTATATAACCGATATCCCCCTCGTAGCTAGAATTCTTAAGTCCTGCATGAGTAACTGAGCTGTTGGATATTCTCGTAACCTTTCTGACTTCTTCCTTGCGCCCTTCTTAACTGCAGTTCCTCCCTTGAACATTATTTTTTTGGGGGGGGGATGGGATGGGGGAAATGGGGTGGGACTCCTGAGTAGCATTTGCTACAGCTGGAAGGGGAAACACCTGTCCCTCCAGCTGTGGATGAAACCATCTCAAGCAGACACACAGGACTTGTTGGGTGGGCGGGGGTGGGGGAACCATGTATCCTTGTTACCCTCCCTTCCCATTTTTTTAAAAAAAAATTAGGCCCTCGTGCTACTCGAGACTACTTCCATCTTTGAGGCATTGCAAGTCTTTTTTATTTTTCCCTTTCCTTTTGTTGAAATAAAAGATTGTGTAAAATACATGCAAGACTGTTAAATGNAAAAAAAAAGAATAAGGAACACATTTTCTAACATAGAATTTGGTCCCTTGATTCTGTGTAAAATAACTATTGTGAATATTGGATTTGGGGTTTATTGTTTTTTTTTTTTTGGCAATAGTTGCACAAATGGCATTTATTGTTTTTTACGTCCTGCCCAAACAATTTAAAAATGTCTATTATTAAGCATCCAGCAAATTAACTTTATAGTAAATGCTACAGACATTTATGGCTGGCAGCTAGCTAGCTATTTTATTATTTTTGTTTTATTTTATTAACTAATTACATGTATTTTAATGTATTGTTTTAATTTAATTTGATTTTTATATTTTTATTTTATTGTTTTATTTTTGTTTTTGTGTATTTGAGTTAGATGCCACTGGGCCATCCCATTTCCAGTCTGTTCACTGACTGGGATTTCCACAGATCTTGAAATTGTTCCTCTGACTTTAGACATTTGTAGTGTTCAGTATTGCATTAATTTTTTTTTAAATAAAGGCTGGAAGGAAGCGGAATTCTAGGCTTCATCTGAGTTGCAATTTGAAAAAGCCATTTTGCTACTGTTTTCTTTTTCAGGCTACTTGTCCTGCTGTCGCTTTCTAGACGATAACCAAATTGTTACGAGCTCTGGAGATACTACCTGGTGAGTATCCTGGGACCTTTTTTTAAAAATTTTAATGAGCTCCCCATGTGGGCTGATTATTTGAGCTTCTGAATTCAAATGCTTTTACTTCACTTTGCAGTGCTCTGTGGGATATCGAGACGGGCCAACAGACGACTGCCTTTACTGGGCATACCGGCGATGTCATGAGTCTTTCTCTAAGCCCAGACATGAGCACTTTTGTTTCGGGTGCCTGCGATGCCTCCTCCAAGCTCTGGGACATCCGAGATGGGATGTGCAGGCAGTCATTCATGGGACACGTGTCTGACATCAATGCAGTTTGTGTAAGTGACTGTTGTGCTCGTGAATATATGAGAATATGAAAACTTCTTCGTATGCGCTTGCTAGTTCTCCTTTGCATCTGCTAGAACGGGCCCGATGTGTCACACGCTGGACAATCCACATTTAGTGAAGAGGGAAAAAGTCCCTATGGGTCACATGATGCCGCCATGACGACATGAGATTGACACCCCTGTGCTAGATGGTTTGGGCTTTTCCATTAGTGCAGGGGTCAGCAAACTGCGGCTCTGGAGCCGCATGTGGCTTTTTCCTCCCTCTGCTGCGGCTCTGTCACCAGTCGGCACCACAATTTTGAGAGGAGCTTCCGGTGGGGGAGGGGGGAGAGAAGCACAGTGTGCCAGGAGAAGACTCTATGGCAAGGGGAGGGTTTACCAGTTGTCTCCACAATTGATAGGACTTTCGGTTATGACAGGTAGAAGAAAAAGTACACCGCGCTAGGAGGAGATTCTATGGTGGGGGAACTGAACTTCTGGTCAGCTCCAGATTTGAACAGGGGGCTTCCGGTTAGGACCTTTGTGGCTCCCGGTGTTTTCTTTCCTGTGGGAAACGGGTCTAAATGGCTCTTTCAGTGTTTTAAGTTTGCCGACCCCTGCATTAGTTTATCAGACGTGCACAAATTCTTTTCATCTCTTTCGTCTGCGGAAGCCAACTTTTCATAGGCCAAGGGTTTCCCACGGATAGTTAGTTGGGCAGAAGAGTTAGCAGAGCTACAAGTGTGTACAATTTCTGGAGGTGCCAGTCTCTGGATGCAGAACTCAAACGTGCGTCATCCACCCAATCTCTTTATAAAGTTTTAGAGTAGCGTTTCTCAACTTTGGCCCCTTTTAAGCTGTGTGGACTTCAGCATCCAGAATTCCTTTCTGGCTGGGGAATTCTGGGAATTGGAGTCCACACGGTTTCCAGTGCCCAAGATTGGGAAACACTGTTTTAGATGGTTAATTGTTCTGTTATTTGAGAGAACTCTCTTGCTTTGCTGATGAAGAACAAATAATTTGGCAAATGTTTTAAGTATATTAAGAATTCAGGCAAATGTAAAGCTTCAAGTATCTCAAGCACGATGCTGTTCTGATTTTATTTTGAGCGCAGTGTGTTTAATAGTAAGTGAACTTTGAATGATAGCTTATGGTTCCAGAGCCAACTACTTTCCCTCTCCCTGCTTTCTCCCCCCCTCCCCTTCTCCCCGCTCTGCCTGCATTTTTCATATTCTTATTGCGTTTCACAGTTCTTCCCAAGCGGCCATGCCTTTGCCACTGGTTCAGATGATGCCACCTGTCGACTCTTTGATCTTCGTGCAGACCAGGAGCTCATGTTGTATTCCCACGACAACATCATCTGCGGGATCACTTCTGTAGCTTTCTCAAAGAGCGGACGTCTCTTTTTGGCGGGCTACGACGATTTCAACTGTAACGTTTGGGATACCCTGAAGGGTGAACGTGCAGGTGAGTTAAAGCTAACAGGTTAATAGTATTTTTTAGTATTTTAGTATTTTATTGTCACTTATAGGCTGCCCTTTTCCCTGAGGGGACTCAGGGCGGCTTACAACTCATGGGAAGGGGGTGCAAGACAAAACGTAAAATAATATGTGAATACAAATAATAATAGCAATAAAACACAACATTCATTCAACATTCGGGTGGGGTGTATGCAAATGTCAAGCATGTATAGGATAACAGGTGTAAGTATAAACGTGATTATTAATACATGAAATGGATATGAATATTAGGACAGGGAGGGTAGGCACTTTGGTGCACTTATGCATGCCCCCTTACAAACTTCTTAGGAAGGGGGTGAGGTTGACAGTAGGCAGTGATGGCAAACCTTTTCAGCACCAAACTGAAGTGCATGCCAGAGCACCGGAAAGCTGAAGATCATGCTTGCTTTTGGGCCATTTTCAAGCAGTTTTTTCCAGCCTGAAAAATGCCCCCCAAAACAGCCTGAAAACAGCCCCCAAAAGGCCTGAAAACAGCTGTTTT